GCTGGATGAGGCTTGGAGCAACCTGGTCTAGTGGAAGGTGTCCCTGCCCATGGCAGGGGGGTTGGAACTAGATGATCTTTAAGGTTCCTCGAACCCAAACCATTCCGTGATTCTATGATTCTAAGAGGTGGATGCTCAACGACTGCTCCCTGGGAAGGCTGGTGTAATCTGCACCTCTGACTTTGGAAGGAGTTGGCCAAGGGCTACCCGGGGTGCTTGGTGTTGGCTTCGATTAATCCCAGTCCACTGGAGAGGTCATAGCAGACGTCCCCCCAAAAGTAGGGAAGGATGCCAAAGACAGGCAGCCCGGATGCTGAGCGTTCACCCTTGAGCCTTTCAGAGCTGTTGTCTCTATTAGCATCACCCAGGCTGTCATTGCATTCCCCCTTCCCCTCCCTCCTCCCGGCTAAATGCTCCCCAGACAACTCAGACATCAATCGACGGCAGAAGAAATGGCCACGCTTTGTCTCCCTGGAGAGGCAGCTTTGCATCGAGCCCTGTTGGGGCGGCCGGCGGACCATTTTCACGTCTCCCTTTGTGAAGGAGCAGCCTTGAGCGAAACGCCACTCGAGGGGCATTGAACGAAAATGTACGTTGGCCTCTTCCATGTGGCACTCGGCACCCGTCTCCGCCTCTGACGCTAATGATCCGGATGAAGGGTTTGGTTGGGTTTGTGTGCGATTTGTTTGGTTTTGGGTTTTTTTCTTTTTTTTTTTTTTTTCCTGAGGATAATGGGAAAAGAAAATAAAAGGGAAAGGGTCTGGAGAAGGGGAGGTCAGATCCATTTAGGAGCCCAAACATTTACGGGGAGAGTGCCTCCTGAGTGGCTGCACAAAGGGCCTGGCTGTACCTGGCTCCATCCCTCCTCCACCCCCTTCCCCCACCACCTCCGGCCATGAAAAGGGGGAACCAGAACTGTAGGGCTTCTGTGAAAGAGAAGGATAATGGATTTCATTATAGACAAGCACGTTAAATGTCTATCCACTCGTGTGCAATAAAGGAAAGCTGGTCTTTAGCTAATCGCGCCGGAGGAGCTATTGGCTGGGATTTGAGAGCGAGATGTTCCCCTTGGTCCCCTGCCACCCTATAAAGAGCCAGTTATGGGGTTCAATTAATCTTTAAGCCGTGTTGATGTCTGCCATGGCAGCCTTTTTCTCTCCACTGGCCTTGGGAACAAGCCCGGAACGTAAACGTCCGCGTCTGGCCAGAGGTACAACTCTCGCGGTGGTGGAGTGGGGTTTGCTGGGGCAGGGGTGGGATCCAGCCCAAGAGAAGCGTCAGCACCGAAATGTCTTCACATCCATCGTGTCCAGATGGACCACCACTCCTCCCTGCCCCGCAATGACTTTTTTCTGACGCCCCCCTGGCCCCCAACCCCATTTTCCCATTCTCTGCCCATGGTGTTCCTTCACGCCGCCCTTCTCTTGCTGTCCCTCAGAGCTTTGCGGGATGATCTGGGGGTCCCTGTCCCTGCTGTGCCCCTGCTTTCCCCAAGCTGGCTGCCTGCTGGGCTGGCATAGCTCCTGCCAGCTCCAGGCATGATGCTTGAGCCTGATTTTTCTCTCCCGCTGTTGAAGCAAGGAGCAGCCATGCTTGAAAAGGAACAGGGGATGGCTTGGCTGGAAGCAGCTTGTGCAAAGAGATGTGATTTTTCGGAGCAATCTGGGTCCCTCCCCCAGCAAGGGGCCCTCGGGAGGCCCTCCCAGCAGCAGGGAGCTGGGGTGATCCACTCGCTGCCTGAGTTGGGTGCTCCCCATTCATTACTGTGTGTGAGCTTGGTGCTCTGCTTGCACAGGGGACTTGCTGCTGGGGTCCCTTCTCCAAGCCACCCTGGGTGCTGGATACGGACGTGGAGATGCCTGCTGTGCCGGAGATGCAGAATTCATCTGTTGGAGTGAGTCCAGAGGAGGCCCTGGAGATGCTCCGAAGGCTGGAGCCCCTCTGCCCTGGGGACAGGCTGGGAGAGTTGGGGGGTTCAGCCTGGAGAAGGGAAGCTCAGGGGAGACCTTAGAGTCCTTTCCAGTGCCTGGGGGGCTACAAAGAAGCTGCGGGGAACTTTTCCCAAGGGCAGGGAGTGACAGGACAAGGGGTAATGGGCTTAAATGGAAAGAAGGAGGTTGAGATGGGACATTGGGAAGGAATTCTTCCCACAGAGGGTGGGGAGGCACTGGGACAGGTTGCCCAGAGAAGCTGTGGATGCCCCATCCCTGGGAGTGTCCAAGGCCAGGCTGGATGAGGCTTGGAGCAACCTGGTCTAGTGGAAGGTGTCCCTGCCCATGGCAGGGGGGGGGACTGGGTGGGCTTTGAGATCCCTTCCCACCCAAACCATTCTGTGATCAGCCCAGGGGCTCAGGACTGTGTGCTGAGCGGGCAGGGCTCAGAGGTAGCACATCTCCCTGCTCTGCCCTGACCAGCTCCCGACAGAGAGAAAGAAAACTTTGGGCCCTCCGCCCAACATTTTACAAGCCCAGAGCAAAGCTGGGAGCCAGCTGTGGGCTGGCAATCCAGCTGGGTTATTAATTTTTCTGCCTAACCCTGGAGATAAACCCGGATTTCATCCTTCCCAGGGGAAAACAGACTGGATCCACCAGGCTGTATGTGGAGAAGTCAGGACATGGCCCCACCATGGCATGTAGGGTCGGGATGCTTGGGTGTCATGCAGACTGTGTCCTCCCCTTACCTCATGCAGACCCACAGCCTTGCTGGTAGGGTCAGAGGGTCCTGTCCTTGGAGGGGACATGTTTTCCAAAGGACACTCATGTGGACATCTGGGATAGCTGCTGGAGGACCGGTGAGGTTCAGCACCTCCCCAAAACACCCGAGCAGAAGTTTGCTGAAGAAGCTCTCCTACTACAGCAGTTCCTCTGTTTTTGGACGTCATCTGGGCTGGTTTGAGTATCTTTGTGTGAATCAGTCTGGGAACATCATCTGGAAACTCTTTGCATTGAGGGAAGAAAACCCAACAGCTAACACTTCTGTCCAACACGAAAATCTCTGTTTTCAGTTTGTATTCCTACAGCTGAATGATTAGCATATTTAATTAAGGAAGCCTGTTGATCTCACTCCCTTGCAAAAGCAAAGAAGCCCCAGGCTAGTGAATAAAATGAAGGATGGCTGTTCCCTGCCCCAAGCCCCCATCCATAGCCAGCTTGGGAAGCTCTCCCACCAGAATTGCTGGGATGGGGCAGGCCACTGCACACTGGATGAACCTGCCCTCTCCCCAAAACACATCCCCAGGGTGGGACAGGGGGGTTTCTAGGTGAGGGGGAGCTGTGCCCTCCTGCCAAGGCACCGGCTTAATCCCCCGTACACTGATAAGGTCACGCCGGGACCCGCGCTCCTCCCTCCCATGCGTTGTCTGAGACCGGCGGCTCTCTTGGCCCTATTTATAGTGCAGTGATAGGATCAGGGGGAATAAGCATTTAGTGTCCCCTAAATCACACCCCACTCCCCATGGCCAGTCGGTGCTCACTGCTCTCTGCTCTTGCCACTGGAGAGCCTGGCCAGGACTTGTGAAGGTATGTTGGGAGCTGGGGTGATGCTTGCTGGGATCTGGGGTGTTGCTGGGGAGCTGTGGCATCCCTCCCAGTTCCTTATCCTCACTGGAATGGGATGGGAATGACTTTTGGGCAGGAGAAACCTTAGGAGCAGACCCAGAGTGTGGTGCTGTGGCTGGGAGCCCCAGTGTCAGGCAAGGACTGGGAGGGCAGCTCTGGCTGCAAAGGGAGCCTGATTTTTCTGGATAAAAGGGATCAGTTTATGTATTTGTCTCTCTCAGATGGTGGCCAGGGCACCATCCTTCCATCCCACTTAGGACCTGAGCCTGCGTGGGACATTCAACCCACAGCCAGGGTCCACCCAGACTGCCCCTGGGATGGGATGGTGGTCTAACCCTGCCCAAGGGTGGAGTGGTGGTCTGGGCTGCCCATGCAGATGGGCACCATTCACTCAACAATTCCATTTATAGTTCCATCTTCCAAGCAAAAATGACATGCAGGGAGATGGAGAGAGCCCCAAGTCCGTGCTCTGTGTCCCTAGGCCATGGGGATGACGGGAGGGAGCTGGGGAAGGTGGGGGCACCTGTCAGCTTGCTGCAGGTGGGCAGCATGGTGTGCAGGGTTGGTTGCTCATCCTCCCTCTCCATCACCAGTGTCCTTGCTCTGGTTCCCATTTCAGGGAGCGACGGCGTAGTGGGATGCCCCGTCCGGGCCAGCCAGTTCCTTCCCACACATGGTCCAGCATGGGCAGAAAGCCCTGCCCCAGGGGCTGACCTGGACCTCAGCACCCTCCAAGCCAACCAGCAGCTCTGCAGGAGGGGAAACTCATCCCACAAAGCCGGTGGAGCCTGGACAGGAGAGCGGAGGAGCTCCTGCCAGAGCTGGTCCCAGCTTGGTGACTGTGGGGAGGATGCTCTATCCCATAGGTGGGTCCCTTGCCTGCAGTGACCCCCTTGGTGGGTTCCTTCAGATCCCTCCTGATGCTCTGCTCCTACACAGCTGCAGCTTCACCCGCTAGCCGTCGGGAGAAGACCTGGGGTTATGCCCTGGGAACTGCCCCCTTTCTCCCTGCCGGTGTTTGATGCTGAGACACATGGGGTCATCCCCAGGGACCATCCTCTGCTGCCTGATGGAGCTCTGTCCCAGCACCGGCTCTGCCAGGGCAGGTTTGCTCTCCCTCATCCTCGCATCTCTGCTGAGCAGCCCCTCGCTGCAGAAATCCCTGCCCACCACCTACAGAGACCACAAGGATCCCCAGCAAGGCACGGGCCTGATCCAGTGCGGTGAGTACAGCAACCAGGTGCTGCCCAACGGCCGCTGTAAGATCGTGGCCACGCTGCCGCAGGGGGACGAGCAGCGGTGCCCAGACATGTTTCGTTGCACCGACGAGGTGTCCTACTGGCTCCATGAGAACGAGGAGCGCAAGCAGCAGGTCCTGGAGCTGCGGGAGCTGATTGCAGAGCTGCAGGAAGAGCTGAGGAACCACCGGCACCGCATCAAAGTCCTCGAGCTCCAGGTAAAGGGCTGCCCCTTGCAGAACCCCTCTGTGGGTGCCCACAGGCCCTCCCCACGGTCCCTTCCCGCTCCCGGCAGTTGCAGGGGGAGGACACGGGGTGAAGCATATGGTGTTGTTCCGACCATGGGTCAGGATATCCATTAAATCCCAGCTGCTCCTACTGGGATGACTCAGGAGCCTTCCAGGGCTGATCTTTCTTAACATGAGCTACAAACCCCTTGGTGTTCATCTGTGCTGTCTCCCCCACCTTCGAGGCAGCCTAGGAGGGGTTGGGGTTGCTGATCCAGGCCTGTAGTGACAGGACAAGGGGTAACAGGTTTAAATGGAAAGAGGGAGGTGAAGATGGGCCATCAGGAAGGAATTCTTCCAGGAGAGGGTGGGGAGGCACTGGGACAGGTTGCTCAGAGAAGCTGTGGATGCCCCATCCCTGGGAGTGTCCAAGGCCAGGCTGGATGAGGCTTGGAGCAACCTGGTCTAGTGGAAGGTGTCCCTGCCCAGGGCAGGGGGTGGGTCTGACTGGGCTTTAAGTTCCTTTCCAACCCAAACTGTGCTGGGATTCTATGATCCATACCATTACCCATACTGGGATCCCAGACTAGCCATGGAGTTTTTGATGGCCAGCAAAGGACCACATCTCTGATGGCCACAGCTGAGCAGGAGAAGCCCAGACCTCCTGCCTACCCTTCCTGCAGTCTCCTTTCTGGTGCTCATCCCACTGGCTTTGCATCCTTAATCTTCATGCTAACACATTTTTTCTACCCTTGTTTGTCAACTCTGAAGTGCTCTGATGTTTGGCACTGCCCCGTGGTTTTGCCCAGCAAAACCTCAGCTGTCGGCAGCAGCCATCAGCAGCTCGGCAGAGGGTTGTAACCAGGCATGGGGAGGGAGCGGGCTGTGGTTTTGCTGGCTGTAGAGTCGTTTCCCAGCTAAGATGTTTCACTGTGATGCTGAGAAAATGTGGAGCAGAACCAGCAGCGATGTACCGGTGTCAGCTGGAAGAGCCTGGAGACGGCTGGGTAGCAGCACCCTTGTCCTTGCTCTTGGAGGAGATGAGGTCTGATACGGTTGTGCTCAGGGTGGTTTATTCTCTATTTGGCTTCTTTCCACCCTCGCCTTTGAGCTCCGTCTTTGGAAAAGCTCCTTTGAGCAGCCCCGGGGGGAGGTCAAGTCTCTGCCGGAGGCTGCAGGGCTGTTTGAGCGCTGCCATGGCCATGATGTTGGGTGGGCATCTGTGCCGTGGGTGTCCCCGTGGGATCGAGCTCTTCCTAGTGCAGCGGAGGAAGGGAAGGGGGACATGTTAGTCAGGACACGCGCTTGTGCTCAGGAAACCCACTCAGTGACCCCACCCAGGGTCCCTACTTCCGTGTTGGCCCTGTTCCCCATCCTATCCTCTCATCTCCTTCCCACTGCTCCGCTCCCACCTTCTCCTTGCACTTGCACTGGGACAAGCTGGTGCAAATAGGTCTTTGTTCTCATAACTTCCCATGTCCATTCCCTGGTGATATTTTGTCCCTTAGGACTGTTTAATCCATTCTTTCCACCCAGCACCCAAAACACACTTCCGTGCTACCTGCAGCTGCAGCTCTTTCACTGACCTCTCCAACTCGGAGCCAAGGAGGGAGATGGACAGCAGTGCACGGAATATTTCCCCTGCAGTGTTCATGCTCATAATCCGTTCCTCATTGCCAGGCTCTGAAATGACCCATCTAAAGGTGCTTGGCCTATGGCAGTTGTGCAGGGTCTCTTCAGCAAAACACACTTCCGTGCTACCTGCAGCTGCAGCTCTTTCACTGACCTCTCCAACTCGGAGCCAAGGAGGGAGATGGACAGCAGTGCACGGAATATTTCCCCTGCAGTGTTCATGCTCATAATCCGTTCCTCATTGCCAGGCTCTGAAATGACCCATCTAAAGGTGCTTGGCCTATGGCAGTTGTGCAGGGTCTCTTCAGAGTCACAGGGAAGAAGGAGGACAACCAATCTCCCCCCTGGAGATGCTGGTTGTCTGGAGGTGGCTGTCGAGGGAGCTGAGCTGATGGCCTCAACAGGATGCTCGACATTCAGGCAAGGGAATTAGGTGTGGAGCAAGGGCTCTCATCTAATGTCCATGCCCAGATCCTGCACCTTCTTACCCTGCACGCTGGTCTCCTGCTCGCTAGCTAGTCCAGACTGAAGTTTGCTTAGCAATTTGATTACACACAATTAAATTCACTGGGGAAACAGAGACACTCCCAGGTCTTTCCAGCTGCTGGTGTTTAGACCCTTCATACATGCACATACATATGTAGTAGAGGGGGAGGGAGGCAGTGGGACAGGTTCCCAGAGAAGCTGTGGATGCCCCATCCCTGGGAATGTCCAAGGCCAGGCTGGATGAGGCTTGGAGCAACCTGGTCTAGTGGAAGGTGTCCCTGCCCATGGCAGGGCGTGGGACAGGGTGGGCTTTAAGGTCCCTTCCCTCCCAAACCGCTTGGTGATTCTATGCTATACATGTACATGCACATGTACACGGATGTGCTTGCGCACACGCATGTACACCCTGACCTAGACCTGTGTCCCACGTCCCTTCAGTTGCAGGCACTGAGACCCTGCAGCTCTCACACATAGGAAA